CCCGCACGCTCAGCCCCACCCTCCCCCGCCTCCTCCCAAGCCGCTGGGCAGGGGTCTCCCTCCAGCAGCCCCCAAACCTGCAGGGAGACGCTGGCGCCTCCAGCCGATTCCCCAAAGATGGTGATGCTGTTGGGGTCCCCCCCGAAGGCCGCGATGTTCCTCTTTACCCACGCGATGGCCATGTGCTGGTCCCAGAGCCCGTAGTTACCTGGGGGTGCCGGCATCAGGACCGGGGTCGCCCCCACACGGGACTGAGGCGCCCCTGGGTGGCGGGGGCGGGGCCCCGGGAGGCAGGCCACGGGCAGGGCCTGGCGACCTCAGTGTCCACCTCTTGCGTGTCTCCCCTCAGTGTCCACCTCCACCCTGTGCCTGTCGGGCTGTGCCCGGCCCCAGCCGGGGCCCCCGGCCTCAGGCATGTGTCCGGCCGGCAGCTGCTCATGCCCACGTCTCGGGCCAGTTTCCGGCGGCCCGGCTCCGCCAGTGGGGTTCTGGGCCCTCTGGGGCGTGGGGCTGGGGACAAGGGGCCTCCCGGCCCACTGACGCCCGCCAGGCCGCGCACACCTGGCAGGTTGGCGTCTCCGGTGCTGAGGAAGCCCAGCGGCCCGACGCGGTAGTTGAAGGTGACCACGATGACGTTGCCCCTCGTGGCCAGCTCCTCTCCGTCGTACAGGTAGTTTTTGAGGAAGTTGGCCCCCTGGCCGGACCCGATGAGGAAGGCGCCCCCGAAGATCCAGACCATGACGGGCAGGTTCTGGGAGACTGAGGTGGGGGAGCAGCGGGTGACCCCTGGCCGGGGGCGGCTCCGGGAGCCCCTCCCTGCCGGCTTCAGGGGAGCTGGGCTCTGGAGCCCCAGAACAGCCGCGGGGCAGGGCCCCCACAGAAGAGCGGGGTGGGGGAGGCAGACCTTCCTTCTTGCCCTGGGGGACCCAGATGTTGAGGTAGAGGCAGTCCTCCTCCCCGTACGAGCTGCCCTGCGTGATGGTGGTCTGCAGGCATCGCTTCTTGAAGTCCTTGGCCTTCAGGGTCCCTGCGGGCAGCCAGAGCGGCGTGTGGGCGGCCGGCCG